TAAACCAGCAGGGAGGCATTATCGAGGGCTTCCTGGAGGAGATAAACTCTGCCCAGTATTGTGTTCCCGATGCACTCATGGCAATCCAAGGTCAAGGAACACCCTTCCTTTTACCTTAGAAGCTTCCTGATGGAGAGAGAACTTTACCTAATGTTCTGATTCAGAGAAGTCCTCCTTCCTATCTGTCTATAAAGCATTTTATCATGCCACCATCATTTTAACAAAAGTCCAAAAGGCCTAAGGATCAGATATCTGGGGAGGAAGTCCAGAAATTAGTCTAAGACAGTGGTCGGCAAACTCTTTAGTCAACAGAGCCAAATATCAACAGTACAATTGAAATTTCTTTTGAGAGCCAAATTTTTTAAACTTAAACTATATAGGTAGGTACATTGTTATTAACTTAATTAGGGTACTCCTAATTTTGTGGAAGAGCCAAACTCAAGGGGCCAAAGAGCCACATGTGGCTTGCAAGCCCCAGTTTGCCAACCAATGGTCTAAGGCACTGTCTAATTTCTACACTCATGAGGGCCTGTTCTTGCTGTACTACAAAGGTCTTTGTGAGACCCAAATAGTGGGAGAGGGCAGGAATTACCTAGGACACCCCCTACGTGGAAAACTGTTTATGAAGACTCAGTGTGTCTGCAGCAACAAATACTCATTGAGTCCCTTCCATGCACTGGCCACTTTCTGGACACAGAGCAAACAAGGCACAGTAAGGCCCATACATCATGGGGAGGAAGAGAGATGGTATGTACATGTACAACTAACAAATAAGTGAATAACACAATGTCAGGTAAGCCATGCAGGCTATTAATATATATATATATATATATATATATATATATATATATATATATATATATATAAAATAATTTTTAACTAGCATGGTTAGAGAAGGCCTCTCTGAAACATAGAATCTGGGCCTGGATGATGGTAAGATGGTCATGTAAAGGTCTGTGGACAGAAGCAGAGCAAGAACCAAGTGCAAGAACCCTGAGACAGGGCTGCTCTTGCTGTGTTCAGTGAGCATCTATGACTAGAGCAGGTGAGCTCAGGGAGTGAGGCAGAGGCTGGGATGTGGCCTGTGGAAGATCTGAGTTTGTAATGACGATCTGAGTTTTGCCCAAGAAAGGTCACTCGGCCTGATCTCAGAAGGTGGGCTGAGCCAAGGCACTAGTTGAGGCTCCTATCCCCTTCCCTATTTTGGATCTTTATCAGAACCTGAAAGCATATTTTAAATCTAAATTTCTATTTCAAATTTAGTGATGTAGCAATGGTACACTTACCAATGCCGGGTGGAAGTCTCTTTGCAGTATATTGTATGTCACTGCTATTCTAGGAAAGGGCCTCAGTTTTAAAAGTAAGCTCTTTGTCCACCTGAGCATACATGACCTTCTTGGATGGCACACTCCCTTTTGGGGTCCAGGGAAGGTCACTGTATCAAGTGGCCTTTTATTGAAGGAATCTTCTCCTCTCTCCTTCTCCCAGGCAGAAGTATCATCTCAGACTATGCCAACTGGACTGAATAATCTGGCCTTTCTCCAGTGTTCCTGCCTGCTCTGGGAAGCCCTGGCAGTTCAGTATGAATCACATGGGGCTGGTGGGTTCTGACTTTCCATGTGGGTTGAAAATCACACTTCTTATTTCATTTTTAGCCACCTCATGGCTGGAGCAGTGGGTTTACAGAAGAACATGGTGGGAAGAGCACAGAACATGGTATCAAGGCCAGCTGTATTTCCATTTTATCGCTCCCCTTCCCACACTCCAGCCAAACTGAGTCACTCCCTCCGTTCACACCCACACCATTTCCTCATCTATTCCTTCATCCAGGTTGTTCCTATCGGAGCCCTGCTCCATATTCTTCAGGTGTCTATCCTTTGGACCTCATCCTTCAAAGCCTAGATTATATGTTATCTTCTCCAAGAAGGCACTCTAAGAGTTCACGACCCTCCTGTGAGATTTCCCATCGCAGAGTCCTCACAGCTTTACAGGAGCATAGGTTCAGGATTCAGACATATCTGGGTCCAATCTAGTTGAATGACCTTAAGTACATGACCTGTCCTCTCTGAATCTCAGTCTGCTTGTCTCTAAGGTAAGGAGGATACCTGCACTTACATCATGGCCTTATTGAATCAGGAAGATGAGAACATGTATGCAAAGCCTTTGACAATGTGTCTGACGTATGGTCAACACTCAATAAATGGGGATTATTATTGCTAGTAGAGTCACATGTGCATTGTCTCATATCTCTGCACACTACCCTACTCATCACCATTCCTTGGCAGTGTCTCATATGGAACCTGGACACCCAAGCTCTGCTTTTTCTGACTTCCTTGGATAGAGCTCATCTCTTCCAGTCTTGCACTTCTGAGTCATGACACTAGAGGGCAGCAAGAGAGCACAGACACTTTGGAAGACTGGCAGGCCATCTTGGATGCTCTTTCTCTTGGCTAGCCAGTAGAGTTGGTAAGATATCCGCTATAGATTCCTCTTGCTTGAATTGTACTCTCATTCCTTTGTGCTGAGAAAATTTCAAAAAACACATAAGCCAAAAGCTAATCATTGTAGTCCTTTTGAGAAGGCTTCCTCACTCCCTAAAACTAAAGCATAATCAAAATCAGCCAGGGTACTGATTATATACACTATACTATGTTTCATGTTTTTAGGATTGAGTGGTTCAAAAAATGCAAAATGATTTGAACAATGCCTGACACATAAGAAATAAATCAAGCCTGTTTTAATGGGTCAATTAGGGCAGTGAATAAATGGGATCCTGGAACAGAAAGAGGCATTAGGTAAAAACCAACTAAGGGAATCAGAATAAACCACATACTTTATTTATTTTTTAAATATATTTTTTATTGATTTCAGAGAGGAAGGGAGAGGGAGAGAGAGAGAGAAACATCAATGATGGGAGAGAATCATTGATTGGCTGCCTCCTGCACGCCCCACACTGGGGAGTGAGTCTGCAACCTGGGCATATATTTTGACCAGAATTTGAACCATGACCTCTTCGTTCATAGGTTGACAGTCAACCACTTAGCCATGCTGGCAGGGCAACCACATATTTAGTTAACATTAAGGTATCAATATTATTTTGTTAATCATTATAATGAATATACCACACTAATGCAAGATGTTAATAAGGGAAACTAGGTGTGGAGTATATGGGAACTCTATACTCTCCCCTTGACTTTTCTGTAAATCCAAAACTGTTATTAAATATAAGGTCTATTAAAAAAAATCAAAACCTAAGACTTCAAAATAATTTTTCACATATTCCAGGTGTTTCTAATCATTTCTCCCTCTGCTCCCAAGCTCCTGCCTCCCTGACCCCGCCCATTCTACCCAGACTTCCTTTTAGCTCTTGTCCCATAATTAATGAGAGGCACTGATGAGTGTTAACCCAAGGAGTGATGCTGTTAGATCATAATTTTAAACAGAACACTCTGTCCTCTATGTGATGGGTGGATGGACAGAGGATAAAGAAAACCAGCTTGAAGGCCATTGCAAAAGCTCTGGTAAGAAATGATATCAGTCCAGGCTTGGGAGGTGTATGTAGGGAAAGCAAGGACTTGATCATTGGTGGGGAGTAGGGAAGAAGAAAAGGGGAGTAGGGAGTGAGGAATGATGATGGTATCTCTGGTTTGGGTGAAAGCACAAGGTAATATTGTTCCTCAGGAGAGAGAATACCTAAGGAGGAGAGATAGTGAGTGTTGCTGGAGTTGGGTGGGGAGGATGGGATGCTATAATAAAAGCCATTCAGACCTATTGAGGTAGGGAGCCTATGGAAGTATCAGTAAGGATGTCCCTGACATATCCTCATGCCTACGGGTAATGAGACAAACTGCCTGAGATGATGTGGTTAAATAGTTAAAGGCTGGTAATTCCCAGGAAAGAGAGAGCTCCATGTCCTGAAATGATTGATGGTAGTAAAGACTACAGAAATGTCAGGGAGGGTAAAGGGTACAATGACCTTGCATTTGTATTTTTCCGGCTGATTCAGCATTTTGGCTTCCATGTTTCCAGCTGGCCTAGCCCTTACTTCCATTAGTGGCACTGTCATACTCCCCATCAAAGATGAGTCCCAGGAGTTTCTCCTCTCCTCACCTTGCCCCATGCTGCTTCTAATACTGTTCTAAAATCTTCTTTAACCAAGTAGGCAGGGCATAAGGCTCTTGGAAAGCATAAGGACATTCTATAGAGACAAAACCCAGGAAGGGACCAGAACCCAGAGGGAACTCCACTCCCTGCCCACCCCCTGGGGCTAAAATTGTGCTCTATGCATGTAAGGCAGTGCTGGGCTGAGACAGCCAGATCCTCTTTCCCCAACCAGAAAAACTTATCCCTGTTTCAAAATTGGCAAGTGTTGCATTCAGATGCATGATGAAATCAGTTTTTTGCTTTGATTTGGTATTGGTTTGGTTTCATATTTAGAAGCTATTCAAAGTGTTGGGTGGTTTGGGGAACAGACTTAGAGGAGGGGTCAAGATATCTGTTCTCTTTGGGAGTTGGCCAAGAGAGTTGGTTGCAACCATTGACCCATACATGGGTTTTTAATATGGTGAGTTGGAGGGAGAGAGGGAAAGAGGGAGGGAGGGAGGGAGGGAGGGAGGGAGGGAGGGAGGGAGGGAGGGAGGGAGGGAGAGAGGGAGGGAGGGAGGAACAAAAGCCCAAGAGAATACAGGATTTTAGACTTCCAGGTTTTATTGTGTATCATTGTACACACTCACAGATTCTGCTATAATACTGGGGATGGCATCAGAGCAACAACTGCAGTAACTATTCTCAGGTAGAGGCTCTGGCCACTTGAGGTCAGGATGGGGTAGGACTGGAGTCATCAGGAGTAGGTGCTGGGCAATAGCTTCCCCCTCGTCAGGCAGGTTCACAGATAAGGTGGTCCGTTCAGACTGAGGGACCTGAGGTAAGTGAGGCCACTGGTTCAGCTCTCTCTTCACTTTATGTGTGGTGGCCTGAGGACATCTGGGATCTGAAGGTGGTTACTTATGCTTGACAGGGCACTGCACCTCTTCCTTCTGCTGCTGCTCCTCTGCAGGAGGCAAGACTTCTCCCTTCAGTGGCTGGACTTGGTGGGTCTCTTGGGCCTGGCCAGGAGCTGGGACACATGCAGGTTGTTTGAGCTGCCCGTCCTGCTGCTCTGCTGGCTCTGGCTGCTCCTCCTGCTCTGGCAGCTGTCCCGGCAGCTGCTCTCCTTTCTTTTCCAGTTGCTCATCTCTCTTTGCTAGCTCTCCCTCCAGTTGCTGGTCTGGGAGTGTCTTCTCCAGTCCCAGCTGCTCCTTTAGCTGTTGCTCCAAGTTTTCTGCTTCCTGGTCTTCTTGCTGCTGCTGCCCCTTCTGCTCCTGTGGCTCCTCCTGCTGCTGTTCCAGATGCTCTTCCAGGTGCAGCTCCTGCTTCTGGATCTCTTGCGGCTGTTGCTGCTGTTCCAGATGCTCTTCCTGCTGCTGTAACTTCTGGGGCTGGGGCTCACAGTCTTGCTCCGGCATCCCCTTCACAGCAGTTGTGTGTTTCTCTCCTTGCTCCAAGGGGACCTCCCTTGGGAGCTCAGAGGGCACCTCCTGGCATGGGACAAGCAGTGAAGTTGGCTGCTTCACCTGCTCCTGCTGGGTATCAGCGGGAGGAGGAACAGGCTCCAGGGGCTCCTGGCTGAGGGCCGGGGGCAGGGTCACTGGCAGAGCGTGTTGCTGCTGGGACATCTTGGAAGCTGCTTCAAGTCAACCTGAAAATCAGGAGGGGGCAGAGGGGTGGCTGAAGAGAGGCAGTAGAGGAATTCCCAAGCAATCAGTTTCTGGCTCCTCCGTGGCTTCTCTCATCCCCACCAGACCCGAGCCTCTCCCACCACCTCCAGCTGTCATTCCCCAAAAGCAGCAGAAGGAGGGTAGTGATGGGAAGAGGTGACGAGAGGCCCTCCTGGAAGCCTCCTTTCCTGCAAGAGTTCTTTCTCCAGAGCTGCTCCTCAAAGGTGGGGGGAAGGGAGGGAGGGCGCCACTGCACCTCCTGCTGGTGACTTATCTTTGCCTCTCCTCATTTCTGATCTCCAAGGAAGAAAGAGTTTGGGGTCATAGCAGAAAAAGGTAAGGTCCTAGGAAAGTCCTGGGAGCCATTAGCCCATGCTGGAGAGGAGGTGAGAGGTCATGGTGTGAGCCCTGGATTGGAGTCACATGACATATTCTTGGTTTAATTATCTCACTGAAATAACGTGTGCTCCAGGGCCAGGCACTTACCCCTTCTGAGCCCCAGCTGTCTCCTCTTTAAAACGAGTGGTTTGGCCTGTTAACTGCAGAGCTGCCTTCATCATGAACTCCGAGCTCTCCCTGCAGACCCAGTGCTCAGGTGAGGGGTGGCGGGAGGGGTAGCAATGTTGCTGAGAATGAGGCTGGCTCTTCCAAATCTCTACTATTATGTTCAGTTTTCCTGCCCCTGCTCTGCCTCTGTTTCTCCAAATAGAAAGTTTTCTCCATTCTGAAGTTCCCCCTTTTGCCACAGAGCCAAGAGTCACAGGCATTTCCCTGAAGCCTCTACCCCCATGAGAGAGGCAAAATCACCATCAGCTTAAATCAAAGAATTTGAGTAAAGAATTTGACCATATTCATGCTGCAGCCCCATCTCACTGCCCCCACCCTCTGTCCCATTCTTACACTTTCTCACATTTACCACACACACACATTCCAGACCATGGCCCCAAGGAAAGAGGCGACAGGAGGAGATTGTCATCTTTTCTGTTTCCATTCTATGACACCTGTCCCTCAGCACAGTGACCGGAGCCCTTCTAGAAGCACAGATACTGCAGCTGAATCCAGTCTACAAGGATACCTGCACCCACCCTGGCATTCCCCGCATCATGCTCTGCCTGCTGGAGGCCCTGGTTCCAACCCTGGTTCCGTTGGCTCACACTTACCAGGCCCACAGGAAGGATGGCTGGATGGGCTTCTACCGGAATGCTGAGCTGAGTAGGGGCCAAGGCACCCTTTATACTGGTCCCAGACTGTCTGCCTTCCTAGGCTAAAGGGGATGGACTGGTTCCACCACTGAAGTTAGTCAACTTCCTCCAGCCCCTCCCTGACACATCACAGGCACCTGAAGTAAGAAACCCCTCAGGGCCCCTTTTCCCACACTGACATAGCTCTGGCCTGGCCAGAGGGCTCTGGGGGCTCAGGCACTCCTGACTCACTCATGACCTGGGCACAGGGAGGTGAGGGAGGCAGCTCGGGAACCAAGTCCCCTTTTCCTAATATTTTGTTACCTCAGCCAAACATCTCCGAATCTCAATTTCTCCACCTGTAGACTGGGTTTATCCCCATTACGAGGCAGAGATTCATTTCCAAGGCCAAGAAATGGAAAATTACATTTCTCTCTGGAATGTCCACACAGGGTATGTGGTGTAAAGGTGGGAAAATCACTTCTCATGAAGAGATGGGATTCGTGAGGGTTCTCTTGGCCATTAGCCCACAACCATGTACTCTCAGGATCTATTGATAGCTCTGTACTGTCAGGAAATAAACTCTGTTTGCGGGGAAAGGACATTAGGCCCAATAGGAACAAATGGAAGGCTCATAGGAGTCTCCTGCTATGTGCCTTGGATTGATCATGCCTAATGTCCAAAGCTGAAGTTCAGAAGCTCCCAAGAATAAAAACTCACAGAAACTCCAAAAGATGGGCCACCTCAGGCAAGAAAATAGGTATTCAACATATAATATATATAAAATAAGGATTGCTTGTTATCATGCTAAAACATGATAGACTTCTTTGGGAAATGCATAAAGAATGAAGATAAAACCAAGTTATCCATTGCTTTCCCCCAAACCATTCCCTAAAAAGAGCTTATGTAATGTTTCAGTGTGGGTACTGCATCTTGTCCCTTCCCAGTATTGGTGGTGACTCAGCACATCGAGATAAAGTCCAACCTCATTGCTGTGGTGTTAGAGGCCCTCGCTGAGGGCCCTCAGTTCCCAGGAGGAGCCCAGCACTTCCCGTGTGGGGCTTGCTTCTCCCAGGCCCCTGACTCTTTGTGCCTCAGCATCAGCAGGGAGGTACAGACTATCCCATCTACAGGGTGATCTTCCAGTTCACTTCAAATCAGCAATAACAATTGAGGGCCTTTGTTTGCATTTGGTCACTTGTCCATTTCCTCTCTCTCCCATTGGAAAATAGCTTTATAAGGCAGGGGTGGCTTAGACTGGAATGTGTTCCACCATGTCCCCAGAAGCCATCACAAGCACCACGTGGACCCAGTGCTCTACAAATTTTAAGTGAAGGAAGGAAGGAACAGACCGTGAATCTCGCCACTGGGAGATAACTACTATCAAAGAATGTAGAGTGATGTGTGTGTGTGTGTGTGTGTGTGTGTGTGTGTGTGAAAAACAATTGATATACTTTTTAATAATTGGTATATAGCTTATTTTATGAGACATTATTATTTAAACTCTCTTCTTTACAACCAAATAAAACCAGAACTGTTGGAACAATATGAAGACAAATATCATTTCTGGGGCTTATTTTGAGAAGTGTCCTGATTCCTCATGGATTTCCCAAAAGGCACCTTTCTTCCAGCCCCAAATAGTTCAATTTACAATGCTAACTTAGCCATGCTCCGGGGGGCTCAGTCTTAAAAGACAAATGGAGGGACTCCTGCCTCTGAAAGACTACCCTCTCCTCCTTCTCTTTCTGTTTCCCAAGCCCACCTAGGACCTCACTCTGCCTTCTCCATAGCACAGGCACTGTGTCATTTTCTAGGGCTGGGGAAGCCTTCCCCCCTCCCCCCCATGGAGAGCTACCCAAACATCTTCACATGGGCACCCATGGCCTTGAACTCTGCAGCTGACCTCACATGGCAGGAATCTGCCTCTCCCCAGCCCATGACAGTGAGTCCCAGGGCAGCAGACCCTGCTCCCGGAAGTCACACCGGTCTTATGGGTTTCTAGGGTTTGTATCTTCCAGATCTGCCCCCCACCCTCTGACTCACAACATAATGAGAGCTTTTGGGGGAGAGTGTGTGTGAGAGCCTTCAGTCACTGGGCAAAGTTAGGGTGTGGGAAGGAGGGAGGGGCATGAAGGTGAGGTGTGTGTGAGTCGGACAGGAGGTGGAAGAGCCCCAGCATTTTAAGGGCTCAGAGGCCTCATGCTCTGCCCTCTGGTTACCCCATTTGGGGGCCAGACATGCATGTATATCGGGGAGATTCCCTCGGTGTGAATGACCTCATAGGTCCACATGATGAGTGAGGGTAACTGTCCAGCCCCTGTCCAATGTAAGGAGGATGAGATCACATCCCATGACACCTACAAAGGCCTTGACCCCATCTCTGCCCTAGCCCAAAGAGACCTTGGCTCTTTCTCTTGCAGAGGCAAAAACTAGCAAGTTTCTCTTTCTCTTGGAGTGAGGCAGCCTATGTGAACTGTTGTTTAGCTGTGGGAGGGCAGCGTTCACTGCCCTGGCAGGTGGGGGGAGCTTTGGGAACAGCATTTAGTTGGCAGTATGAGATGAAGGCAGATGGCCCTGCAAATGTGACTTGAGCCAGGATGTCTTGTGTGCCCTTCCATCTTGGGAGCCATGCTTACACTATTTCTGGGTGAGGCAGTGGCCCCATACTCTGAGGCTGCTAACCTCAGGTCCCTCCCCATAGGCATCCTCCTCTGCCCAGTGCACTGGCAGCTACACCATCTTAATCTGCACCTGCATTAGTCACCTCCCTGTGGGCCCAGAATCCTCACCATTCTCCTCATGGCTTCCTGAACCTGACCTTTGCTCCTCATTTGCCTTTTGTGCCCTTATGCTGCTCCGGAGGGAGCAAGACAAGAAAGGGAGATGTGACCACAAAGGACCAAGAGGCTGATTCTTCCTCAGTGGATGTTGGTGCTGGTCTGTCCGATGTCCCCATTTGTCCTTCTTATGTCTTCTTCTGGCCTCCCTCTTTTGGCCTGTGGGATGTCTGTCCCACTTCCAGTTCTAGTGCTGATTTTGCTCTGCTCACTATGGAAGGCCAGCCCCAGTCCTGTTCTTGGTGCAGGAAGAGGAGCAAGGGCAGGCACAGCTCCCCGGGTGGGAAGAGGAGATGCTCAGTGTCCTCTCATCCAGCTGTCAGAATGCCCTCTCCTGGGGCTCATGGTTTGGGGAATCACATTCTTTGTAGTTGATTCTTTGCAATGGAAGGCAGCAGCATGTCTGAGCTGGGTGGGGGCTTGGAGAATGCATGTGAGACGGGTTATATCAGGTGACCTCAGACATCTTCCAACTGCTAACCAGTTGTTTATTGTGGTCAGTGCTGGGTTTTTGTTTTTTGGTTTTTTTTGAGAGAGGGTCAGTTTTTCATAGCTCAGATCCAGCCAAAATGCTCTTGGAATGACCCTCATTGGTCCAGGGAACAGAGAGCTCTCCTTACAGGCTGGTGCAGGTGTTGAAGTTTATTTTCACATTATCCCACTTTGAGGAGTGTTACTGTTCTGAAAGTTGTTGCAGAGGCTATGTAGTTGCATATGGAGTCATGTGTGTGCTTGTGTCTTTATATGCATGAGTGTGTGTTTGTGTGTGTATATATGTGTGTATTTGTAAGTGTGTGTGTTGCATGTGTATGTGTGTATGTGTGTGGGGAGACAGAGAGGGGGCACTGGGGAAATATTTAGTCCTAGAGAAGACATTTTTGCCAAAAGCAGTTAGTTACTCAAATTTCCCTACCTCTGTAGGGTCCTGCTGAGTCCCCAGAGCAGCCCCAGCTGGGTCCTTTCTACCTTCATCTATTCTCCATACAGTGGACTATTTGCCAGGAGCTATCCCACTGCTCCAAGCTCAGGATGGGTTGGTCTGGTCCAGTGTATAAAACAGGGCCTATTTCTTCCTCCCTAAACCATGACTCCCACTGACTACCTTCCTCAAGTCAGACTCAGGGCAAATGCCGAGGCTCCTAGGGCCAGTGTACTGGGGAGGGCCTTGATCTACCACTTCCTCTCTAGTCTGCGGCTGCTCTCAGGAAACTTCCACTGAATGGAGAGACAGACACAGAAATGGAGGGATGGGTGTAATTCATGCCATGCACCTGACTAACGAATCTGTGCATAGATGCAGGTGTGAGCAGACCAGGGTTGCACGATTCTCCCTGGGGATAATGCAAAGGAAACAAATCTTCAAAGCCTGATGTTTCCCAGACATGATGCTATACAGTCCTCATCCACTATCTCAATTATTCCTCTGCACTTCACAGATGAGGGGCTGAGGCTCCAAGCAGTGCAATGACTGGGCAATGACCAACAGTTGGATGAAACGTGGGTGTGTCTGCTCCCAGGCCAACCTCTCTGCCTCTCTCTAAAGGCAGAGATGTCCATCAAGTGCAAGAGACACTGGAGTCCTGCTGTGTCCCTTGGAAGAACCCAGGGTTGGCACAGGGAAGACTGGAGAGCTACAAACCAGAAGACAAGCAAGCTAGAAACTGTTGGAGTGACTGAAACGTTCTTTTCCTGCCACCCAAGTTTTACAAGAAAGCCTTCTTGGAGGGAGATGGAGGGTCAGAAGGGGTGAGAGAGGTCAGGAGGAGAAAGGTGAGCCCAGAGTTCCTGTTACAGGTGAGTCTTGCTTGCTCAGCTCCAGCCTCACCCTTCTCTTTACCTTGTACCCCAACCCCTAGCATTTCTCCCAGAAGCTTCAGGCCCCAGTCACCCTAGAACCACCTCCTCCTCAGCTCAGGATCCATGTCTGAGAAAGCTGGTGCTGGAGGAGCCTTCCTGGTCACGGAGTCCAGCCTTGGCACAGTCTAGAGAGGGGAAGGATCACACAGGGTCAGTGGCAGGTCTGGGCCAGGGCCAGGGCTAGGTCTCCCGGGTTCACTTTTACTCACCGCACTGCCTCTGTGCATTCCATTCTTTGTGCTGGAAATACCTTTGGCATCTGCTGCCTTATTTTTTGTTCAACTTCACTGGGAATACAGCATCGAATGCAACGGGCAAAACCCCCCACCTGTCTAGAGCTTCCATTGCAGTGTGTGAGGCAGACGACAAGTCAACGCCCAGCTGGAGTCTAACGCCTGTCAGGTACACTATGTAGGAAAATAGGGCAGGAAAGAGGTTTGTCGAGTGCTATGAGAGGGGGTGTCCTTTATTTTAGCAAATCAAATCTAAGAACATGTAAGAAGGATTAAGCAACCTGATCAAATAGGGTTTCTCTCAGGAAATGAAAGCAAATGCCCATCAAAAGACTTGTCACAAATATTCCTGACAACTTCGTCATAGCCTAAACCTGGAACCAACCCAAATGTCAATCAGTAGAATAATGGATTAAAAAATGTACTCTATCCCTGCCATGAGGGCATTTACTACTCGGGGGCAGGGGGAGGTGGGGGGAGGAAGAATGAACAATTTAGAAAGGTGCAACAACTTGTTGGAATCTCAAAGTAGTTTTGCTGAGTGAAGAAATAGGTCATAAAAGAATGCATACTGGATGATTCCTTATAAAATTCTTGGAACTGAAGACTAACTTATACAGATCAAAGGTAGATGAGTTGTTTTAGGGAATTGGAGGGCAGAAAGAATTGTGTGGAAGAAATATAAAGGGGCATTAGAAAAATTTTAGAGGTGATATGTCAATTATATACCAAAGAAAGAGTCACAATGGAAGTTTCAAGGTATGGTGAATCAGGTTGACTGCTCTATTTCCATCTGCCCACCTGGATTAATGGAGTCGTGTGTGTGGGACAAATTATTGAAGTATGGTGGCTTCTTTGGAGGGAAATAGGCACCTGTGACAGAGGTTTGAGGAGATACATGAGTTGTGTATCCACTATGTGTTAGACCCTATGTTAAATACTTTAAATAAAGTATCCCATGTAGTTCTCATAAAAACCCTTTAGGGTAAGTGCCATGACCCACATTTTACAGATGGGAAAATGGAGTCAGAGAGAGGTGGATCCACCTGCTTTAGGGTCAAAGAGGTAGTGTTGGTGCCATGAGACTTTGCTGCCTGTGCCAGACGGAGCTTGGTGGGGTCCTTGCCCAGAGAGCCTCCTAGGGACATGCTTGTTCTGGACTTGAATGTGATACCCAGGGGTTGACTGACTGTCCTCTCAGCCTAGGACCGGAGGGGCTTCTGCAATGCAGGACTTGTTGGACAGCCAGGATGAGTCAGTCTTCCTAACTGGCTCAGCAGAGGCCCCGTGCTCCTGGCTGCTGGCTCCTCGGGCCTCCTCCTACTTGCCCAGAACATTTTCTTGGTCTTAGGCCAGACAGGTGCGAGATGGTTTTACTGGTTAAGGAGCAAAGGGAGACGCCATTTTTTTAATTTTTTTTTTTTATTGCGCTTTCATTTTGGTACTATCTAGTGTCATGATCACTAGGAAAGATGACTCCAGCCTCTTCTATTTCCAACTGGGGGCTGCCCCACGGTGGCAAGGGGGGTGGGGGGTGGATTATGAAGGGAAATGGAGGCTTCTAATTGGGAGTCCATGGTGGTCAACGAGAAACAGCTTTTCAAAATGTAGGTCAAGCCTGACCTTACCAAGTGATGGGCATAGCCATGTGGGACAACCTACTTGTTTTTCTTCTTCGGCCCCAAGTCCTCTGACGTGGCCCCAGGTTTGGGGCTTGGGGGTGGCTCTTGGCTGCTCGGACTTTGGGGCGGCTTGGGCTCGGAACCCTTGTTAAGGCATGTGCACTCCGGCTTGGGCTCCAAGCAGCAGCACTTGGGCTCAATGCAGCAGGGGGGTCTTGACTGCAGGCAGCAGGGGGGTTTTTGCTGGCAGCAGGGGGGTTTTGACTGGCAACAGGGGGGTTTTTGCTGGCAGCATGGGGGTTTTGATGGGCAACAGGGGGGTTTTGGCGGGCAGGGGGGCGATTTTGGTGGGCAGCAAGCAGGTTTTGGCGGGGATGGGTTGCATTTTGGTTCACTCATCTTCCGAAGCTTTGGATGTCCTAGAAGAAAGAGAAGAGCATTCTCAGAATGAATGTTGGCCACCTGAATCCATTTCCCCCAAAATGTATCCATCCTCAGAGATATGACTCAGACCAGGGCTGGCATAGCTGGGCTGGACACCCTCAAGGCCACGGGCCAGTTCACAATTCTTACCTTCCCCCCCTATGTCAATGTGTTGGGTTGAGGATCCATTAGCTCAGAGAGCTTAGCTAATGAGGAGCAAGTTTGACCTTTAGTGGCCTGAGTGTGGCTCCAGTGTCAAGCACTTCACAAACATGATCCCATGAATGACCCCAGCCTACTGAAGCGGTGGGCATTCTTACCCTACTGTACCTATGAGGATGATCAATGTTCAGTCTCAACTGCTCATAAGTGGATACAAGCCAGGTTGTATCGCAGCTCAGAGCATGTGCTTGGTCTGGTCTCAATTGTGTCTCTCAGGAACCCAGGTGCAATGGGAGTCTTGCACTTGGGGTGCCTGGCCTTTAGTCACACCCTTCCTGAATGCACCATCTCATTCTTTGCCCCTCAGCATGTGGGCAGTCACCAGCGGGGAAGGTGGTGGGGTGGGGATGACACCAACAGAATATGGACAGGACATGGCTCCTGGCATCTTGGGCCAAGGTCCAGGCCTGGCTCTACAAGCTCTAAGGCATGGGGCAGAGGCAGTTCTCCTTACCCCTCTGGGCTGTCTCTCTTCCTCTCTATATTGTCAGTGTCAGGGAGGTGAGGAGACATGAATTGGACCTTGTAGTTGTCCTCAAACTCAACCTTCCAGGTCTTTTATAATTTCCTGATTATTCCAGCAACAAGAAAAACTAAAACGACTCTTTCTTTGCTTCTCATCAGCTCACCTTCCTCCCACCCAGGATATCCAAGTTCTCCCGGCAAGGTTCCTAGGCTCTGCCTGACATGTGGCCCCTGGGGTAGCCCCTTGATGGTCTCTGCCCTGACCCTCCTGGAGCACATGAATGAAAGCCACTGTCCAGGTCCCAGAGCAGGACAGAGGGTGTGGCCAGGAGAGTCCTCTGGCCTTGGGAGAGGTGTGGAGGGAGGGGAAATGAGCATGCACCCCAGCTAGGGAGGGGCCTGGCCTGTCAGAGCTCTGTCACCCCGTGGAGGTGGATGGGTGTGGGAGCTGCAGTGACAGTTGCTGAGATAGAATAGCCACCTCCCGCCAGCTTTTAGCACAGTGGCTGAGATGTCCTTTCCAGTAGGCATACATGCTCATAGACCTATATGTGCATATGGACACACGCTGATGTGTGTGTGTGTGTGTGTGTGTGTGTGTGTGTGTGTGTCCATGCAGAAGCACAAGCTCAAGGAAGAACCCAAGGTTTCTGACAATGGCTGTGTGTCTGGACCAAGTGGAGATGTCTTTGTCTTTGTCCATTAAGCTTTAAGACCAGACCTTGTCTTATAAAGGTGCTCATTTCTGATTGGCCTCAGTTCCTCCTGCCAGTAGACCCTTCTGTCCCATCCCTGCCCTGCCATCCTGCCACTCCTGCTCAGCCCTGCTCCAGTCTCCATCTAAAACCTGAAAGTCACATCTCTCATCTTTTTGTCCTTTTCTGTGTTCTTAGGATGGAGGCAGGGGGAACTCCTGGAGACAGGAACTACAAATCCCCCTCACACCAAAGCCTCTCCAAGGGTTACTGCAGTGGGACGGAGACTGGAGCTTCCCCTCCCTGCCATTGAAGGTGGCTTTGGGTCACTGAGGCATGCGGGATTCTCAAATTAAGTGGCTCCCAAAGAGCACCTATCAAGTGACCACCTCCTTGACAGCTGCAGGCCCAGAGTCTTGGCTGTCTTGGATAATGGGTTATAGGTGCTTAGCCTCAACTCTGTTCATCTGGGGATCCACCTGAATCAGCTCACGTGTGCAAGCCGGGTCCCACTGAGCCTGGCTCGACTGATGCATCCGCCCCTGGAAACAGTAACTTTCCAACTGACAAGCTGTCGCCCTGCCCCAGCCCAGCTTCTCTGCACCTAAACCTTCAGATCCTGCAGAGCCTCCTCTTGGTATCACCCTGTGACTGTGGAGGCCATCGCCACACTCCTTGCTGCGGTCTGAGGGGCAGACTCCCCTTTGGGGCCCACTCTGCTGTGAATTACTAAACTGGAGCATCAGGAGAGAGAGAAATGGGAGGAAGAGTCTCTTTGAAGGCCCTGTCCGTGGATCATCCTGCAGTTCGAACTGGGTCAGGGGCAGGTTCTCACCTGTGAGGGAAAGTGACTTCTGGGATAGGGTGTTGGCCTCAATTCACTAGTGACTCTCTGCCTGTTATTCAGGAAGTCGTTCTGTCATCCAGGAAGAGGTTTTTGCTTAGATTCAAAAACCAGACCCTGAGCCAGAACTGCTAAGGGATGAGAATAGGGACAAGCCCCACAGTCTCCCCGTCTAGGGCAAGAGACTGCAAAGCCCTGGCTGGGGGGCTCAGTCGGTTGGAGTGTTGTCCTGTACACCAAAAAGGTTGTGTATTTGATTCCCAGTCAGGGCACATACCTGGGCTTCTAGTTCAGTCTCCAGTTGGGGCACATATGGGAGGCAACCAACCAATGTCCTTCCCGCATGGAACTCTCTCTCCCTTCCTCTTCCCCACTCTCTCCTCCCTTATGTCATGGTTTACATTTCTCCCCCTGAAGGTCACAACCCTTGAATTGACAGTTCACAGCTCTCTGTCCACCTGGAAGTCCAGCACATCAGGCTCCATCTTTCATAGTCTGGGTTGGGCTGTTCCTACATCCTGGTGACCAGAAGGCACCCAGGCTCCCATCCGTGTTCACCTGGTGACATCCCCTCTGAATACAACTTTTGTGGGCAGATCCTGGGAAAAGATTCTGGATGGGAGCTTTGCCATGTCAAAGATAGAGAGGAGCTTAGGGATCAGTCTTGTGCACTAGGCATAGGGAGGGAAGGAAAGTCCCCCCTCCCTTCCTCCCCTCCCTCCCCCCCCCCCCCACCCCTGGGCCATGCCTCCTGAGCCAGCACTGTCTCCATTGTCTCGCTGCCTTGACAATGAGTGGCTGCCCTCATTGTGACACGCCCACCAGCAGTCTGGTCCCCAGTCTTCCATGTGTGCTAGGCGGGTCCTTCCCTGAAGGCCTTGGATGAGTTCCCTCAGGTATCAGACTGGCTCAAAGCAGGCCCCTACTAAATTCTGCTCACGTCTGTCTGAATCTGTGTGTGTGTGCTCTTCCCCTGGCCCAGGACCCCCTTCTCTAGTTCCATCCATCCCCACACCCTCCCTAAATATTACTCAACCCTGAAATCTCAGCTTAAACATCATTCCCTCCAGGAAAATTCCCTTAACACATAGGGTCTGTGTCCAGATAAAATTTCTTGGCAGCCCCTGTACTTCTCATTATAGTGTTATCATTTCCCTAACAGGGGAACTGTGGTTGGCAAACTCATTAGCCAACAGAGCCAAATATCAACAGTACGACGATTGAATTTTCTTTTGAGAGCCAAATTTTTTAAACTTAAACTTCTTCTAACACCACTTCTTCAAAATAGACTCACCCAGGCCGTGGTATTTTGTGGAAGAGCCACACTCAAGGGGCCAAAGAGCCGCATGTGGCTCTTGATCACAGCCCTAACTGTCTGACTTATCCTCCAGTCTGTTCATTTCATAAGCACAGATGTCCTTGCTACCCTACTTGCCACTGTGCTCAGCATTTAATACACTGTGATCTTAGAGGGGCTTACACAGTAAGGAATCAATGAACGAATAAATGAACAAACTAGGAAGAGAAGACCCAAATGACAAGTTTTCTCTGGGTTACCTGTCTGGCCACTTGTTTTCAGTCTCTTAGTTCATTATTTACAGGCTCGGTTTCTCATGAAACGGTCTTCCCTGGACTGGTTCCAGCAGATCTGACCTTCCCTCAGCAGCCTAGTGAGTCCATGACTATCAGAAGCCAAGTGGTTTCTCTCCCCTCCCAGCGCCAAGAGACTGAGGTTCTGAGCCTCTGTGACATGGTCATGCTCCCCAAGCTTCTGTGACTATGACTATGACTCACTCACCCCGCCCCCTGCTGGCTGGACAGCAGGACTCCTCTTAGTTTCTTCTCCCCTGAAGGACAAGAGGATCTCTTTAGTTAACCTGTAATCATTCCATCGCCTAAAGTGAACATTTGTATTGAGTGTCTATTATCTATCATACTCAGTTTACAGTGTGAATTGTTTAAGCTCCATAGGATATAGTTCACATTCTCAAAGATCTTCTAATTCAATATAGAGACAATAGACACTGTCAATACTGTGACAGTAGGATAGCACAGGAAACCAAAGGCACATAGGGTCAGATTTGGAGTTAGGAATGCTTTCTGGAGGGAGTGATGTGTCAGCTGAGACTTGGATGGCATGTAGAGATAAGCAGTGGGTCATGGAGGTGTGTGAGAGAGCGCATTTAGACTCAGATGGGAAAATGTGGACTCTGTTGGGGAGAAGCTCAGCGGGGCCAGAGCAGGAGACAGGAGAAGGGGTAGAGTAAGCTACCAAAGACGGGGGGAGCTGTATTGATGAGAGCTTGAATCCCATGAGAAAGAGTTTGGATTTTACCCTGAAGACAATGGAAGCCATTGAGGGGTTTTAAGCAGAGCAAAAGCAAAGATTCCTTGAGAAGCTAGGTCTCTGGTGTGTGTGTGTGTGTGTGTGTGTGTGTGTGTGTTTCATTTTGATGTTCCCATCGTCTAGCTCAGCACAAACACACAATACCTTTGTACTGGCTGGAAGACCTTCCCTAAGACATCTTCAAGACTCACTTCTTTCAAGTCTTTGCTTAAATGTCACTTTCTAAATGAGGTATTGTAACCCCATCTTCTCATTTAAAATTACAACCTGCCTCCCTTTCTCTGACTCAAATCATCTTTACACAGTTTATTTTTTTCAGTAGCACTTTTCACATACGTACAATATATTATACATATAATTTATTTATGTTACTGTTTAATGTCTTTTTTCTCTCACCAAAATCTTCAAAGATGCAAATCATATTTGTTTTTTTCTACAGTCCTATATCAAGGTCCTAGAATAGTTCCTGGCACATAAGAAACACTAAAACAATATTAGTTGAGTATAAATGATGATAGTTATTCTTTTTTTGGGGGGGGGGAGGAAATCACAGTTTGTCATACCTGTGGTGTCTCCTTTCTCCTCAGCTCCAATTAGCCTCACCAATAGTAAGAATTCAGGAAGCCCTTTAGAATATAGTAGAAGAATTTCCAAGTAAGTCATGACTGTACCTAAAATGTAGCTTAAGGCGCAGCTTCACTGCCCCCTGGTGGAAGATATAGCTTTACTGCCCCCTTGTGTTAAGGTAGAGAAAAAAACAAAAGTCTCACAAATTTATTTTCTTAGTTACACATCAAAGGGAAATAAATTTGTCTAGTAAAACGCCCAATATTGAATAACTTTAAATAGTATCTCAAGTATATACTGATACTGAAAAATAAGATAAATAACATTGATGAATTTTCCCACCCATTAGATAATAAACAGCAAGGCAGAAATTAACCAGAAATTCTACATGTGAATTAGTGCCCACGTTAAAGGTTATGTGCTCCCAGTTCTGACCTTCTGACCTTCTCTTGTGAGGTGTGTTATTTTCTTCAATGTATATTGCACGCTAAGAATAAACATATGTAAATGTCATTTGGTTATAATGATACATTACTTACAATATTTGTAAGTGTCACTTGTGCCATTTCCTTCTTGAGCATACAATCCCCCCAAATTAGAGGGGTTTGGAGGCTAAATTCTGGGACAGGAAGCAGAGTGTCAATGGGCAGGAGAAACCTCAGTGTTGGCGGCATCAGGAGCAGCAGCAATGGAATAGTTGTTACTTAGGGAACATCCCCCTGAGACTCCTCTCTGGAGCTTTCCTTCCACATCCCTCTCAAACTGTTCAGACGTGGAGTCTACCTTAGTGGGCAGATCCTATCTGGCTGGCTTATGGTGAAGACTCCAGGTACATGGGGGGTTCCTCAGAACCGAGGATGGGGGAATCAACAAACACCAAGAATCCAAGGTGCCAGAAAAGATCAGCTTTATTTTTGCACACAGATGAGGCTTTGGGAAGCAGAGTTTTCTGTAGCATTCAGGTCTCCTTAATCTAGGAACAGAGCCAAAGTCAGGAGGTGTGAGGGTCCATCCCCTACACATCTAGGCAGCTTAGCTGAGAAGGGGAGAACAAGGCTGAGAGGAAAGATATCCATTCGATGCTGGTCCTTGTCTGTGGATCTTTGGCTCCTCAAAAGTAGATCAGCTGCAGCCCCCAAGGCTGTGGCAACAACTGGAGCAACAACAGTGGGAAGGCTCCCTCACACAGCAGGCGGACGGCTGGGGCTGGCCTAGGCAGACATCTGGAAAGCAGCAGTCTCCAAAGCCAGAAATACAGCAACTAGGGACACAGCAGGAGGGAGCAGGAGGGGGGCAGGGCGCTGGGCAGGGAGGAAGGGCCCGAGGAACCTGAGGGGCCTGAGGAGCCTGAGGGGCCTGAGGAGGGCACTTGGGTGGGTATTTGGGGAGGCACTTGGCAGGAAGCTGGCACTTCTGCTGGGTCTGTTGGCAGGACATCTTGGAGAAAGTGTAGTTACTCTAAAAAAAAAAAAAACCAATGTAGATAGTTTGAAAGTCCAGTGAATACCAATGTAGTTTGCATCTGTATCTTTCTACAGAGTCTGAAGTTCTGTAATTGATTCTGTGGCTCCAGGGCCCATGCTCACCGCAGAGTATGCCTGCTTTCCTGACACAGGAGCAATCAGGCCATAGGTAAGTTAGAATTTGGTGAAGCCTTCTCCTAACTGCCCTGGTTCTCCCAAGACTCCCTGGCTACAAAAGCACTAAGTAGTTCCCAAAGTCTTAAATTGCTTTGATCACATCCCCTAATTTATGCATTCTAGAAACCAGGTGTTGAACCCCGAGTCCATAGTTATACCACTAGTCCACATCATTTCCCTTTTTTCTTTCTTACATCCTGGGCTCTGCCTCTAGAGCTCCCCCCAACCGCACCGCAGTCTTGGGTTAACATTCAGCCTCCTCTAGGATTGCTACTTTGGAGCCAACACAATGATTTCCACGAGCTTGATTCTCCTGCCATGACCGGCTAGTTCCCACCTGGAGTGGCTTGGCCCCATTCAGTTGATGAGTGGCAGTCCTGGCCATCCCCAAACTGCCATCAGGTCAGAAAGGACACTCACCTTGTTCTCCTAACCTCAGGCAAGCGATGGGTGCATCAACTGAAGTGAGGACACAGTGTGATCTGAGGACTTTTATACCTACCCTGCACCCAACACGAGGGAATGAGCCACGATGATGGGAAAACTGTTCCCAACCAGGTGGTTATGATGACGACTTCTCACGTTCCGGGCTCTGTCATTTTGTCATGCTCAGTCACTATTGGGTCTTCCTCAAGAGCATCACCCCATAAACCTTGGGAGTATTTTTATAAAGATAAGAAGGTCCTGAGTTATGAGGGAGTTTACAATGGCACCGCTTAGGGATTGAATTTAAGGTGTCTGGAAGAATCCAAAGCATGCTTGAGTTGAAAATCGAAAGCCACAAATGTTGGATCAACCAAGGAATAGAGTTCAGAGTTTCTGTAGGTTCTACAACAGGGTGGGAACCAGCAATCTAAGCACTCACCGGGCACTACTGAGAGCTCAGTGTACCTGGTTCAGATTCCAACGTGCCTAAAACATTGACCAACAATGTAGCATCATAGAAAGGCCCAGCTGGAAAGGATTTTATTTCAATGCTTACACTCCATGTGTAGATGAGGACTCTGAGAGCCAGAAAGGAGATGCTCAAAGCTGTACAGAGTCTGAACTGGTAGTCAGGTTCTGAGTCTCTGACACCACAAAGCCAGGCACCCCTGTCTCTGATCAGTCCCTGCTTTCAACCTGCTTGATTATAGCCCCTGAAATCTGTCTTCTCAGCTCCCTCTTCCTTCATTCTGCTCCCCACCCAGTGTGTTTCCCTTAGTCCCGTGGTCAGCAAACTGTGGCTCTCAAGCCACTTATGGCTCTTTGGCCTCTTGAGTGTGGCTCTTCCACAAAATACCACGGCTTAGGCGAGTCTATTTTAAAGAAGTGGCATTAGAAGAAGTTTACGTTTAAAAAAGTTGGCTCTCACCGAGGCCGGTTTGGCTCAGTGGTAGAGCATTGGTCTGTGGACTGGAGGGTCCCAGGTTTGATTCCGGTTGGGGGCATGTGCGTTGGTTGCAGGCACATCCCCCGTGGGGGGTGTGCAGGAGGCAGCTGGTCGATGTTTCTCTCTCATTGATGTTTCTAGCTCTCTATCTCTCTCCCTTCCTCTCTGTAAAAAATCAATAAAATATATATTAAAAAAATTTGGCTCTCAAAAGAAATTTCAATCATCGTCCTGTTGATATTTGGCTCTGTTGACTAATGAGTTTGCCGACCACTGCCTTAGTCCATCATTACAACCATTCTTTGCCCAACTCTTCACCCCTTTGGCTTGTCAATATACTTGACTGACAAAACTGCAACCCTGGCTGAATCTATGCCTAGCTGCTATAGAAATAATTTATTTTTTAAAAATATATTTTATTGACTTTTAACAGAGAGAAAGGGAGAGAGAGAGAGATAGAGAGATAGAAACATCGATGAGATAGAAACATTGACCAGCTGCCTCCTGCACACCCCCTATCGGGGATGTGCCCGCAACCAATGTACATACCCTTGACCGGAATCGAACCCGGGACCCTTCAGTCCGCAGACCGATGCTCTACCACTGAGCCAAACCGGCTTCGGCAGAAATAATTTATTTTTTTTTTTAAAAAGACACTTTGGCAGGTTGGCATTATCATAAGATCACAATCATCCACCTAGGCTAGTTTTAAAGCAATCCTATATATTTCTTCGTATTCACTACACACACACACACACACACACACACACACACACACACAATATTTCTCTTCTCTAAAACCTTTGGTGCTTAGATAATACTGCTGCTGCTTCTTGGGGCAAACAGTAGCTGTCAAATGTAAGGTACAAGCCGACCCATGCCTGCACCCATCCTTTATGACTTCCTGTGTAAGAGGAGGAGCAGCCCCCTTTGTTTCCTAATGCCTGACTCTGCTCTTTTGCTCTGTATTTCTGATAACAACTTGATTGTATTTATTTTTTTAATATCTATCATCCTGGATAGAATAAAATCTGGTGTTAGCTGGTTAACTCTTTATCCCTAGCACCTACACAGTGCTTAACATTCTTGTATGTGCTCAAAAAATTTTTTGTTCAATGAATTAATGAGTGATTTGTGGGTGAGGTTAAGGTCTCCCTCCTTTTACTCCTTAGAGAGGATACCTTGGGAAGCAGGTCAGAGGCAGGCAAATGGGACAGGTGTGAAATGCTTCCCCAAGAATGGAGTCATGGATACTGGCCAACAATAGGGGCTTTGTGATGGAAGTCAGGGGTCTGGTCTTGGCTCTAAGGAGACTGGACCACGTGATCTCAGTACAGCTTTAAGTCTATATTTGCTTTTATGAGCATCAGATCTCCAAGAAGGTAACACATAGCCCAAGTGTTCCTTTCCTTCCGATGAACATATTTTACCTGGGGGTGGCAATGTTTGGTGAACTTGATGAAGAAGGGTGAGATGGTCGCTGGTGTGTCTATGAGGATATGAAATATTTAAAGGTAGGTCATGCTATGAGAAAGCAACTCCATCTAATCTGATTAGTTCATCCTACTTATTAGAGGAAAATCACTTAACTTCTGGCCTTGTGCCAAAGCAGAGTATTGTGTACACAGTATTTGGGACTCTTGCCTAATTTGCCTCTCCTAACTAAGATGATGAAAAACCGAGGCCCAGATATGTAGGGATAGGTAAAAGTATGCTCCTTTCCTACAATGGCCCCCACTAAAATATTACAAATTATTTTAAAAGATTGGAAAGTATTGTTCTATTGTGTTGATCCAACTCCATCAAGGAACTACTGATTCAATAAGAAAAAGTTATTCATCCCAAGAGAAACTCCCTTCTTATAGTAACTTTGCAAATACTCCATGGATATTAATTGCTGAGTGCCTGTTTTGTGCAGGGCTTTGAGGATTCAAAGATTAAGATACTTTTTTGCCCTTAAGGAATGGTACAAATGGGATAATATGAAGGAAAGGAAGTTCAAATTTATTCTCAACCTTCCATCCATCAAGGGTATTATTTGCATTGTTACAGCACCATAGCTTCATGAGTTTCTTATTGTTAATCCTATTTTATAGATAAAAGAGACTAAGACTAAAAACAATCAAAGGTAGTCTGGAGATGAAGGACAATTGCTGTTGTAGACTAAGGGAAGAATACAAGCATGGGCACAGAGATGTGAAAGGGCTTGATCTCTTCGGGAAACAGATGAGCCCTGATATTGGAGAAGAGTGAGAAGTAGGATGCTAACTGGACAGAAAGAAGGGAAGGGCCCAGAACATGAGAGCTTTACTTGCTGGGTTGTGTGCTTTAGCTTATAGATAAGTGGTTTCCAAAGTATAATCTTTGAAGCCTGTTGCCAAGGATGTTCAAACATCACCTCCCTCATGGGCCACTCCCCCTGACAGTATGAGTTGCTCTGTGTTGGGATGCTCTCCCTCTCTCCATGCCTCCACCATTGTCTGTTGCATCAGCTTCATGTATTTGCATAGTACAGAAGCTGGAAGAAGATGGATCTGGAATTGGAACACAGGCATTTGAACCGTGGTATGTTAATGGTTTTGAGCCTCATCTTTTTTTCTTAATCTGTAAAATGGGATTAATAGTAAGAAACTTAAAAAGATATTGTAGTGCAATAATGCAAATAATATTTAACAGATAGTAGGTTGAAAATACATTTTAATTTTCTTATTTTTTACTCATATCATTTTACTTATATGGGGGTTCCTAAAAACTGTGAGTCACATTTTAAAATACCATCACTTTTTTTAAAGAATATTTTTAATTAAAATTTTTATTTTTATTTTTTTCCATTACCATTTGTCCCCTCTATGCCATCTTCCACCTCCACCCATAATTATCACATACATGCCCATGAGCTCTCTCTTTTTTGCTCAATCCCTCCACCTCCCCCAACACACACACACACACACACACACACACACACACACACACATACACACACGCTGTCTGCCTGAAAATACCATCAATTCTCAATCCTTGACTATTTAAGTTGTCTAGGAGGAGGCAAAAATCTGGGCTTCCACTGGCCCCGTGCTGCAGAGAAATTACACCTTTACCTGCTTTATATTTTGTAGGTATACATTTGATTTAACTTGAAAACAGGATAATGCTGCTTGAAAAGTTTGATCAGAAGCAATTGGGGCATCTTTGATCATTTAAATAAGGAAGCAACATGGTAGGATTTACATTTTAGGGAGATTATTGGTATCAGGTGACCTTGACTTAATTATTGAAAAAACTGAAGTCTGTGAATGGCCAGGCTAAAGTATGATAGGAGACTCAGAACTGGACCTGGGCAAGCTCTTTGTTAATGAGCTTGGAGACAGAGGGACTGGCTGGAAGGTGACTGGGGGGTCTTTACTTGGCTGAGGCCTCCCTAAGCACAGTTCATGCATTCCTGGACTCTGCTGTCATCTGCCCAAGCATTCCCTCACCATCCTACCTGCCTGAGGATTCAAACATGCTATGGATTCCTGCCTGTGTTAGGTGTGCCCCTTAATAGAAGGGTGAGGTTCCAGGGAGGCCGGCATTGACGTGCATGAGATTCTTATCACACTGATTCCCAAGCGATGAAAGAAAGGAAAACAAGGATCTTCCTCTGCCTGAAGCAGTCAGACCTTGGAGCCGTCCTCCATTGGGCTAGAATCCCAGTGAGCAGGCCACATGTGGGTCTGACTCTGGCAAAGATCACTGGAAGAGAATTCATAGTCTTCCCAAGGGCAATGGAATTCGTTGGTCATTGAGAAGCTGATGCTTCTCTTGGGGTGGAAGAAACACTCATGACCCATGTTCAGGAATTTTAATTTCTCTCAAAATATTGAAAAAGACCTTCATAAGTTTTGACAATTCTAGAATTACAATTTGAAAAATTACTAAAAATAATCACCGATGAGAATATTTATTTTACTATGTTGAGACAGCACAAGAGTGAAAACAACCTAAGTGTCCCATATTAGAAAACTACTTACACAAATTATGGTGTCTTCATGCAATAGTGTTATTTATTTATTAACATAGAAGAGTATTGATATAAATTACATTGTAGGTTAAAAACACAGGTTATAAAATATTCTGAACTTATCCCATTTTGTAATTTTCAAAAAGTGTGGAAATCTATGGAATTATTAGCAGTGCTTGTTTTAGGTGATAAGATTTTCAATTGGTCTTAATCAGCTTACTTATGCTCATCTATATTAACAAATATTTATACATGAAATAGGTATCTATCATTTGCTTAATTAGAAAAATTATACATATAAAATGATAATTTTATATAATATATATATATATATATATATATATATATATATATATATATATAGTAACAGAGACAAAATCAGGCCCTAGCAACCAGGAAGACTGCTAAGTCCTGGAAATAGACATTCTCTACAATATAATCTATATGGTGAGTACTGGGGAAAAAATACTTTCTGTCTTCCTCCCTCCCCCCCAATAAGTGAGAATCAGATAAACATTGTTCCATGGAACCTAGGTTGATATGCAACATAGCTGAGCCTCAAGCCCCTCCAAACCCCTATACGTTACTGCAGGTTCCCCCAACTTCAGGCTTATAGACCTTGAAGTTGGCCCAGACTTTCCCCAGATGACAGTACTTTGGTAGCGGGGATTTTCTACCTTAAGTTCAGTAACTCAACTGATTTGAGTTAACATAAGGGATTCAGGTTACAGTCCTCATCTTACACCTGACACTCCAGCCAAATTAAAATTCATGCCACTGGCAAGTGCCCCAAGTGACACGCATCTGTTTATGCTGTATCTCCCACCTGGAAGATTCTTCCTCCTCACTCCACCCACAGGACCAAAGCCGGCTTACTTTAAATGCCCTATTTGGGCGGGAAGGGGAGGGGAAGGGAGGAGGGAAGGCCGGAGTGGTGGGGAGGTCAATGGGGGGAGGAAGGGAGAAAAGAAACATATGTACTACTATTTGTTCTTAAACAATAAAAATAAAAAAATAAAAACATACACAAAAATAGAGGTCCTGTTTAAATGCTACCTACCCCAGGGAGTCTGTTCCCTCCCTCAAGGTGCTTGCTCTCTCTCTTTCTGACTTCTCCTTCCCAAGCCCAGAAACCACCTTAGATCAACATCAGAAGGAGCCTCTCCCTGCTGTTCTAGGCCTTTTGAACTATCTTTCCCCCCTTTAAGTATTTTTGGACACAATGTAAGAAAAAGCAAGTATGTCAGTCATCTTAAAATTATATTCATTAGTTCACATATTTCAATCTAGAGAGTGCATTGCCACTCCAACTAGGTTGTAAGCTTTTCTAGATCAGAGACAAACCTCCTACTTGCATCTGCGATCACAGAGCCCAGTACACAGTAGGTGCTAGTACAACGTAAGTTTATTGCATTGAAGCCTTCAGTGCTAGGATTTTGTGGTGACGTCCATTGATGGCCATGAGGATGCTGAGAACTCAGTCATGAATCTCAAACCATCTGTCTCCTTGAAGCATTGTCAGCTATCTTAGGAGGAGAGAAGGAGGGGCAGCATCCACCTGGGGAGGTTTCGGCACATGTGAGCTGGGACCTCAAGAGTCACAGCATCCAGGGCTCTGAACGAAGCAGCTGTCACATTGCTGAGGTGGTAGGTGGAAGACAGAATCAGAAGTGCAGTTTGGCTGAGAACTCCCTTCTTAAGTTCTGGGACCTGATGGTGTTTCCTGACCCAAAAGAGAGGGAAGGTCCTGAGCTTCCCAGTGGAAGGAGTACACAAGACCTGGATGGGGGAGGACAACTGTCCCTGTGCCCCTCTCCTCTCTGGTCACCTCAACACTCCTCCTCTTTGATGTGGTAGACCGTGCCACCCCTGAGGCAGCGGGGCATTCTGCTAGCCCTCCGAGTAGTGGCCGGGGTCTGAGTCCGGGACCTCTGGGGACCAGAACCACAGCCTCCTGAACAGGGAGCACAGCAAGGGTCGGAGCTGGGAGCCAGGGAGGGGTGTGGTTCCTGGGGAAGGGAGCATTTGGGAGCCTGCAAAGACTCCCACGATTGTGGCTTCTGCTGTGACATCGCTGGGCTAGCAGGTCGAAACTGGAAGGAAAAAGAACATTCAGTTAGACCAGGAACTTGGGTGCCTGTTTCTCTTCTCCATAAGTTGGAGCTGTCAAAGGGAGCCTAGCATTTGCAGTCTGCTAAAATGCATCCCAGGAGGATAAAAAATTTGATAGGAAAGGGCTAACTATTTGGAGAATAAATCATGATGGGAATCCCAGGGGACCCATTCACCAACAACGAGACTAGTATTTCACCCTTCTTAAGTGAGAAAAACAATTCACAACCTAGTCCACATTTCCCAGGCCAATGTCTATCATGGTCAAATGTAAAGGAGAGCTGGGTCTTAGCTCTTTCTTCACTCAACCTTATTTTGTCCTGAGACTCTGAAGTCTGTGTGTGCTTTCTGTCCTTCTCTGGCCCTCTAGCTTCCATGGCATTCTCCCATAGGCGATCATTTCAGGTCTTTTGCAGGGACCCACTTGCCTCCCCTTCTCTCTACCAAACCTCTCCTACCTGGCTTATCTAACCTCTAAAAAAGAGACAAGAGGAAAGATTAGGGCTGCCTTTGCAGCATCTGAGCGAGGAGCATCAAAGTGTCTCTCCACTCAGAAGTAGCCTCACCCTAGAAGAAGATGTGCAGAAACATCACCCCAGGAGGAGTCTGGAGGCCTTGTGAGGCCAGGAAGGAAGAGGCCATTTATACATCCTCCAGTTGAAGCCTCCAGGAGACATGTTATTGGAGGACAGCCACGGGAGCAGGTTTCTATCTGAATGCTTCACAATCCCCAAGGATGAATTCCTCAGCTACACACACCTGTGATTGGACTAAAAGGATTCACATGTGAGTGAGTGTCCAGAAGTCTGGGGCCTTCAGATTAACCTCAGCGGAGGTGGGTATGACTAAGTCTAAATTACATTCCAGGGGGGTGGGGGGAGGGATAGATGTGGAAACTACTGCTGTTGAGGCCTGTCTAGGATCAGAGAAGGAGAATCAGATTCAATACCACCAAAGTCTGAGGAAGACCCTACTTGTCCACCCCGACCCATCGTCCATGACTTTCATCACCCAGCTCAATGTCATCGCCTCCATGGAGACTTGCTTGGTCTCCCAGCCACATCTGAGTTCTCCAATCTCTGAACTTCATGGACACCTCTTACAGACTTTATAGCTGCTCATGGTAACCTAAATACTTGTCCTATCTCTTCTATTAAACAGTTCCTTAATGATAGGGACTTTGTCATTTCTTCATTCCTAGGGTCTGACAATAAAGAAGATGCTCACTAATATTTGTTGAATGAAAGAATCTACATGCCATTAGAATAGACTATGTATTTGGGGAGAACAAAGAATCATAGGAAAACAAAATCACACCCACTTTTGTTTTATAGATCTTGACTTCTTGTGTTCACCATCATCACCTAAGACCTTTGTGAACACCCTTCCATAGAGAATAGAGAAATAGAATAGAGAATAGAATAGAGAAAATCTGTGGGTGCACCTCACCTTACACAACATACCAAGAATAGTGTGAAGAATAAGACACTTACCAATTCGGCTATCTCGTAAGTGCAAGGGGGGAGGGGGAGGGCACTGTGGACACTTCAACTTCCGGAATATTACATTTTTGTTTAAATTGTACAAAAAGTTCAGTTTGGTAGGAGTATCTAGGAAATCGATGTCATGACTCCAACAGGTACATTCTTTTGCCTCTAAAAATTAGCAATAGTCATATATTCTAGTAAGAAGGGCTAAGCAATCTTCTGATCATGGCTTTTTCCATCAGGTAGGATGATAGCCAAATCCTGACTTCTACATAAGGCTATAATATCAAAAGGACTAGCTTGTTAACCCAGACCATTAGGATTAAACACATGGCTTTCATTTTAATAGAAGTTGTTACTAACAAAGAATGGGCTTAGTTTTTTATTCACCAAAGAGGGCAGTCTCTTTTGTTCCCTATCTCTCATAATGCAGAGGAAGAAGAGGAAAAGATTCTGAAATTTAGAAGAAAAGAGTTAAAATTGTGCCTAGAGTTTAGGTTGCCCACATTCCTCATAAAATAACTTTGTAAGAAAAACTAGAGGCCAGGTGCATGAAATTCATGCAAGGGTAGGCCTTCACAGCCGCAGCAGCTGCCTCATTCCCTCTCTTGCAGCCGTGGATGGCTGCCTGGATCCCATGGCTACAGCCTGGCTTCATCCCAGAAGGACATCTGGTCTAATAAGCATATTATGCTTTTATTATTACAGATTATAAAAGAAATCTTTATAACGTCTTGAGTTGCTGAGTCTTAAAAGACAACTAAACCAAAAACATTAAAAGAGAACCTTCAGAAGGACAGCATGAAGAACACCTTGGACTCTCTTTCAGCAAAATCACTGTAACGGCTGGTAAGGGCACACAGAAAATGGGGGGCGGGGGGGAGTTTATTCAAGAAAATCTACTAAATATCAGTAACAACAGCAAGAATCTATGGCTTAAAATCATAACTTGTTTCCTCCCGGACCCTTTTCATCTCCCATGATGGTAGCTCCACTCCAGGAAATGATGGGACTCCTCCTTCCCTAGATCTGAGACATGGGCTGTGGTGTCTTTGAAACATTGTTTTCTATCACCTCCCACTCTGAGTTGCAAAGACTAAATTCCAGGGGATGGTAGCCAAGGTTTGGGGACTTCCTTCTTCCATCCAAATCGGACTTGTGAGTCAAGAGTGACTCTATCTCAGGTGCACAAGGCCCAGAACACTGGGACCCTGATCACCTTTGCCCCAATCCACCTCTATAGTAGAGGTTCCAGGGTGAAAGAGGCAATCCAAGAAGATTAGAGGTTGCCCTGTACAGCATCGTGTTCATAATGCAGGTGTGTCACTCCGAGGAAAGCAGACAACTGTTCCCATCCCAGCTCCAGAGCAGTGGCTCAGAGATTTTGGCTAGGCAAAGAAACAGGCCATGAGAATGGAAAACCAATATTCTCACCAAAGTAACCAATTTTATTTAGAGCAGAGTAGATATCCAAGCCTTTAAACACTCTAGAAAAATAAGGGAGTTTTTGTTGGCAAGCAATTAAGAAGAGCCTGTTGGTCCATGAGAACAATATGCTAAAGTGCAGGACAGCTAATTTATCCCAGAAAACCAAGGAAAATGAAACTAAGTAGAGTCATAAGTAGAACAAACCTTAAAGACTGGCCTCAAAAACTACCCTTGCAGCCCTAGCCAGTTTGGCTCAGTGAATAGAGTGTCAGCCTATAGACTGAAGGATACTGGGTTCGATTCCGATCAAAGGCATGTGCCTTGTGTGCAGGTGCAATCCCAGGCCCTGGTCGGAGCTAATGAGGGAGGCAACCAATTAATGTGTCTATCTCACATCGATGTTGCTCTCTGTCTGTCCCTCACCTTCCCTTACACTCTCTCTAAAAATCAATGGAAACGGGTTATGCTTAACAAAAAAAAATTAAAAATAAAAACTATGCTTACAGAAGTTTCTGGGTCTAATTGGATCAGATTATGAAACAATTTATGTCCCAGAACATTATCAAAAGCAGTAGAGCATCAACCAGTCAGGTGTGATACCAGTAGAAGAAGACAACTCAACAGAGAAAGGGACACCCAAAGAGACCTCTGCTGAAACTATTGTCATCCAGGGCAACCAAATACACACCCAAGGCTGAGCACATGGAGGAGTAACATCTCAGGCTGTAGGCTTCAGGGAAAATAGCCCATACCCAAACAGTCTCTCCAAACCACTAGCCAAATAAACAAGCAAACAACAGCAGCAACAAACCTCGGGAGGGGGAGGGGAATGATCACTATTCAGAGTTGCTATAATATATTATCTTAAATGACAAATTTTCAACAAAAAACATGAGACATGGGAATAAGCAGAGAATTGTTATTCATACACAGTAAAAAAAGGCAAGAAACAAACATCCTATGAGAGAGCCAGAGATTGAACTTAAGTAAACTTTTAGGCAGCTACAATAGCTATATTTAAAGGAGAACATGCTTAAAGAATTACAGGAAGGTGTGATAATGCCTTGCCAAATACAGAATGTCAATAAGAAAATATATTTGTATATAAAATAACAATATGGAAACTTTAGAGTTAAAAATACACTAAATGAAATAAAATATTTACTAGAGGGAATCAGTAGTATATTTAAACTGGGAGGAAAGAGAGTCATCAAACTTGAGATAAATCAATAGACATTATGCAATCTGAAGAACAAAAATTTAAAAGATGAATAATAAAAAGTGAATAGAGCCACAAAAATGTGGGACACCATTAATCTCACCAACATATGTTTAATGTGAGAAGCAGGAGAGAGAGAAAGAGAAAACATATTCAAAATAATGCTGACAATTCCCCAAATTTGATGAAACACAACTAAAGAGTCAAAAAGATCAATAAACTTAAAGTAGACAAACACAAAGAGATCCACATTGAGACACATCTTAATAAACATGTTTGAAGGAAAAGATGAACAGAAATTCTTGAAAATAGCAAGAGATAAATGACTCATCACTTACAAAGACCCTAATAATGACATGACTTCTCATTAAAAAGAAACAAATAAATAAAAACAAACAAACAAACAATGGAGATCAGGAGGCATAGGAATGGCATTTTCCAAATGCTGAAAAGAAAAAGAAAAAGAAAACTTGTGTCAAAGATGCACATAAAGATCAATAATAGAACCCAGAAGTAAACCCATCAATGTATGGTCATTTGACTTTGGCAAGGTATCAAGACATTTTAAAGAGCCACAAGTAAAAGAATGATCTACATATTTTTTTTAAATATGACATTAAAAAATTCAAATGCATCAAGAACCCAACTGACAAGTAAAAACTATAAAACTCTTAAAAGAAAATCTCCATGACCATGTAGGGAAACACTGGAACTCTAGTCTGCAATATCATATCATCCATCCTTAGGAGGCAGCCAGTCTAAGGGGAGAGAAAGAACCTCTGACTTTTGAGTAGAACTGGTCTCAATTACAGCATTACAGTTCTTGGAGATATCAGATGCTTTTGTCTGAGAATTTATATGTAGATGGTAGTTATGTTACTTTGGCCAACAATCAACTCCATACTTGTTAGTGTATTAGGTGACTTGGAGGGAATTACCCAGTGTGCGTAGTGTTTGAGTTTCCTCTTATTCCTAAAACCAAAGGAGATAATATTCCTCTTCTAACTTCTTGGAACAGCTCTTTAGATGATCCCTCACGGGACTTTGAATCTTGAGTGATTAATTAGAGACATAGTGACATCTAGAGGTCATACTGATTACAGCAGTGGTGAAGTGTGAACTATCCTGTTCTGATGGGTTCCAACTCTCTGGTCCACCAGACATCTGTGTTTTTTTTCATAGATTAAAACATATATATGACTAATTAGCCACTATCCAGTTCTTATTAAGATTGTCAAGGTATAATAACTCAAAGAAAAGTAATAATGATTAGATCTTATGAAATTTGATATTTTAAAAATCTTTGATAATAAAACAAGACTTCTTTACAAAATATAGAGATGAAATATTTGACTTGAAAATTTGGACTTGGGCCTCAAGAAAAGGGAGAAGTTAGTGATATTTTTTTTAAGTTCCTGGTTCTTTTCTTATGGATTTGACATTTTTATGATATTTGCCACATGCAATATGCATCTTTCTAATTAGAATTAACTAATACTCATGATCTATTTTTAGAAAGTTCATGTATAATTTCTAAACATTTTTCTTTTGCTGAAGGAAAAAGCAATCTGGGGATGAGTAGGAAGAATATCATGAAGAGAAAAAGGAGACCAATAGAACATAGGATACATATCTGTCTTCCTGTCATGCCCAAGGCAATGGAAAGCCCAGAGTTTAAGGCACTGTGTTCATGGAGGACACCAGTAGGTTGCACTCAGGCAGGTACATAGGATTCTTCTGAGATAAATTGTCAGAAGAGGAGCCAGAGCCATTTTCTCTCCCCGCCTTCCATGCCCACCACGTCACTAGCACATATTTTATTTCCAGAGTCTCCAGGCAGCATATGAATGAACAGTGGTGAAAAGAATATTGGGACTCAAGCAGCCAAGAAAGAGTCTACAACAAGGTGGTGAGTAGATTCTTCCTTATATTGTTTTGTTTGAGCAAGCAGAATGCAAGGAGGTCAGCTAGGGAATGAGCTACAGCCTGTAGTTTGGGGATCCCGAGACAGACAATAAATATGGTGTAAGAGGAATAGACTTTTGGGAGTGGATTCTGGCTTCTGGATCCCAGGATAGAGGGACTGCTTTCAGCTCTAATGACCAGCAGAAGTGGAAGGAATTGTGTTCGTGGGGACTCTCGAAGTCTTGAAAGCAGGCAATCCTGGTTCAGAGCCCACGTGGCAGAAAGAGAAAGAACCAAGACCAGACGCCTTTCCCAGAAAGTGTATAATAAGAGACAACAGTGGAGAACAAGCCGGGGAGCAGACTGTTTTATTGCTTCCCTTCCAGAAGGGGCCAGCCAAAAAAATAATCTGGGGTTCCCAGGGCAACTGCAAAGGTGGGATCAGAGGTCGGAAGATGAGATGTTAGGAGAGGACACAGATTTCTGGATTGCAGGTCAGAAGAATCTTCCAGGACAGAACTTGAAATCTTCACTAAAATGTCTCAGCAACATGGGCAGGCCCAAGGAAGATGATCTTGTCTCTTTAAGTGCCTCTGATTCTGCTCTTCTTGGCTCAGGGTCAGCTTCAGCAGCAGCCTCCAGAGGACTGACCACAGCTCCCTCCAGAGCTGGAGCCCCCTCCGCAGCAGCTGGAGCCCCCTCCAGAGCCCCCTCCACAGCAGCTAGAGCCCCCTCCAGAGCTCCCTCCACAGCAGCTGGAGCCCCCTGAGCTGCAGCAGCCAGAGCTTCTGTGTCTGAGGCGGAGAGACCTGCGGGGCCTGTGGTGACTCAGGCAGCAGCCACCACCCCCTGAGCTGCAGCAGCCACCACCCCCAGAGCTACAGCAGCCCCCACCCCCAGAGCCACAGCAGCCCCCAGAGCTGACACTACAGCAGGAGGAGACTGGAGCGCACTTGGGGGGACACTTAGGGGGACATTTTGGGGTGCAGCACTTGGGAGGGCACTTGGGAGGGCACTTGGGGACGCACTGCTGGCTCTGCTGGCAGGACATCTGGGCGGGTGGGCAGGCGGGCAGGCGTTCAGGAGCTGAGGGAGAGTCAGATAGGAAGTCAGTCCCACACACAGAGACCTTCCCTACTGTCTTTTTACCATCATTTTTCACTCTACATTTCTGAAGCTGTTCAAGCTAAGTCATAAAAAAATTATCTTTAAAGTAACTTATCATTTGAGCCTCAAGAGTTTTTACTGAAATAGATATAGATGAACTTCTTTTAACAAAGCAAGACACAGAGGACAGATGTTTAACAAGCTTGCCAAAAGCTCGTGATAAGTAAAGGCGATTGGCATTTACAGTCTGACTCAAGTCCACTCTGCACCACTCAGAAGTTTGGAAATGTCCAATCTAGGACTCCGTTTAGAGCTGCAGAACTCTTTGTTAAGGAAGAAATAAGAATTTTCACCCGGCCGGTAGAGCTCAGTAATTGAGCCCTGACCCATGAACCAAGAAGTCATAGTTGATTATTCGTCAGGGCACATGCCCTGGTTATGAGTTTCACCCCCAGGAGGGGGCGTGCAGGAGGCAGCCAATCAATGATTCTCATCATTGATATCTCTCCCTCTCTCTTCTTCTCTCTCTAAAAAAAATCAATAAAAACACTTAAAAAAAAAAAACTTTCTTTTGCAGGAACTAGTAGCTTTTCACAATACATATTATTATATATTACATTAAAATTATTATAATCCCATATAATTATTTATATGTATATACGTACACATATATTGCCATTAAACAGCTTGTATGTTTACTCTTTGCAATTCTAAGCTATTATTTCAAATGGAGAAGTGATAAGAGCTGGGATGTGAATTGGGGTTTGCTGGCCCAGTGAACCCAGGCCGAACTATACACTGTCTACAATACACAGACTCCTCTATCTTTCATGGTGGCACCATGAACTTCAACTTGCTAGTCACTATTCAACTTTGGGGCTTCTGGTTCAGATGCCTCGTCAGTGCTCCTCACCATCCTAAGGACAGTGGATCTCTGCGTTTATGAAACCCCAAATAGACTTCCTCTGCTTCCACTCTGAGAATTGCTGTGACCCAAGAACAGGCTCTGGAAAGGGACAGAGTTCATTTCTGCCAGGTCAATGGTTCCTTCTAAGGAAGATTGTTTTAACTTGCTTAAAACTGAGAAACCCACAAGGCATGCAAAACTAATTTAACTATAGCACAGACACACAGAATCATTCCAATCTTTCTTGCCTCACAGCCCACTTTGCTCATCAGAATTTCTACACTTTTGCTCCTTCCCTGCTCTCCACATCCTCCTCCACTCCCAAGACCCGGCCCTCCTGTCCACATGCTCTGGTGAGCGCCCCCCTGTGGGAGACCCTGTACCATCCCCAGCGGACACTTACCAGATGCACAAGCAGCACAGGGTCTGTCACTGCCTCAGGAGGGAGTGGATGGAGATGCTCCATCCCTACGGCTCTTTTATGCTGGGCTTGAGCTCTGCCCCAGTGAGTGAGACAGGGCCTGGGCATGAGAGGACCGCCTCCTGCCTCCCACATGGTCCTGTGACAGGAGGTGACTGTCAGCTACTTCCCTGTCTCTCTCCATGGGGCTCAGGACAGCTGCTGCTGGACTCGGAATAGGGCTGTTTAGAAATGGGGTGAAGAAGGATTCCTACTATCATCTGCCGCCTTATTGTTCTTAGCAGTTCCTGCCTCTCCGGTTCTCTTTCTCGGAGTTTGGTCCCCAAAACCCTCCCCTTCCTCCTGCAATATTAATCCATTAGCTCCAGCCCTCCGTGTTAAAGACATATAGATGCTTCCAAACTTTTTCACATGGTCTAGTCTAGTGGTGGACAAACTGCATGCGGCTCTTTGGCCCCTTGAGTGTGGCTCTTCCACAAAATACCACGGCCTGGGCGAGTCTATTTTGAAAAAATGGCGTCAGAAGAAGTTTAACTTTTAAAAATGTGGCTCTCAAAAGAAATTTCAATCATTGTACTGTTGATATTTGGCTCTGTTAACTAATGAGTTTGCTGACCACTGGTCTAGACAGTTTACTGTTATGATTCAGTGTATCTGTGTTCTGAGTAATTAGGTGTGTATTTACTACTTTAAAACAAATGCATTTTATTTCAGTTTCCTTAATATAAACTTGGATTTGCCAATCACTATTTTTTTCAAATACAGTTGATATTTAATATCTATAATAATAAAAGCGTGATATGCTAATTAGACCAGACACCCTTCCGGATGATCTTCCAGGTGAAGCCAGGGCTGCGAGGGAAGCCTGTGTCCCAGAGGGAAGCTGGTGCTGGCAGGTGGGGGAAGGAAGGCACAAATTTTGTGCATTGGGCCTTTAGTTACATTATAATGTTCTCAGGTGTGCAGCATAGTGGTTAGATAAATCTAGTACCTACCCAGCACCATATATAGTTATAAAAATATGCCCTATGCTGTACTTTATATCCCTGTGCCTATTTTGAAACCAATTATACTTCTTACTCCCTTCACATTTTTCATCCAGTCCCCCAAACACCTTCCCCTCTATCAACTATCAGCTTGTTCTCTGTATCTATGAGACTATTTCTGTTTTATTTGTTTGTTCATATCATTCTTTAGATTCCACATATAAGTGAAATCATATGATTTTTGTCTTTTTCTGTGGGATTTATTTCATAATACCCTCTAGGTCCATCCATGTTGCCACAGATAGTATGATTTCATTTTTATGTCTTTTGATTGGAGTACTTAATACATTTGATAGGTACATAGTCATTGCCATTTAATTATTCATATTTATGTCCTTTTTTATTTTATTTTTTTCCTGAGAAGTCCCTTTAATATTTCTTTTTTTTTCATCTTTAGTACTTTATTTTATTTTTTTAATTTAACATATTTATTTTTTATTGTTTGAAGCATTACAAATAGTAGTACATATGTCTCCTTTTCCCCCCTCCTTAACCTCCCCCCAATCTCTCCTACCCCCCCATATGCCTTCACCTGCCCTCCCCCCCCCCCCAGTAATATTTATTGTAATGCTGGTTTGGTGGTGATGGATTTCATTCACTTTTTATTGTCTGGGATGTGTGTGTGTTTTTCTAAGTGTGGTGTATGGATTTGGTGTGTGTTGTGTGGAGCTCAGATTCCAAAGTACATTTACTTCTTAAAATCAACCTAAGCTTGAAAAACTTTCTTAGAAGCTAGGTTTGTGGCTCTGGAGTCAAACATGCCTGGCATAAATTCTATCTCTGAAACTTACTATGTATATAATTTGAGAGACATTGTTTAACCTCTTTGCCTCAGTTTCCTCATTTGTGAGATAGTGATTTCAATAACCTCTAGGTCATGAATTTGTTAGGTGTGTTAACCACAATAACACACATGAAGCTCACAGGATGTTGCCTCTCACATTTTGTGCACACCAAAAGCTGTCATCATCATCATAGCAATCACCACTATTTTTGTTAATCACCTTCTGGATGCATGCTGTGGCAGCCAACAGATTATTTTTTGTCATGCATGAAACCAGCATTACATAGACCTTTAGAGTTTACAAATAGTTTCCCGTATGACTTAGGCTATCAACATAAGACCTGGGTTATGAAGACATATATGACTAGGATACATAACCCTGCAAAGGTCTGAACTTAGGCTGCCTGAGCATGACTCCTGTCTTTCTGCTCAGGCGGTTACAAAAGGTTTAGTTATAAGGGAGTGGTCAGGATATCAATTCCTTGGCTCACATATGTAAGTAAGTCTTACTCAGCAACAGAGCACTGATTCTTAAGATAACTGGCCTAAGGGATCATAAGGTCCATGATTCCATGGATCTGCTACCCAAATCATCAATCAACCTGATTTAGATCTGGGTGATACATTGGAAGCACATTTGAAACCTCAAAGGATTAATTTGCTTGCTTTGTCTGTGTGAAGTCAATAGCTGGAGTTCAAGTCAATAAAGACATTTTTATTAGGCAAACTAGAGGCCAGTTCCATGAAATCTGTGCACAGGTATGGTCCCTAGGCCTGGTCTGAGATCAGGACTCTGGCTGTCCACAGCTGGTCCCTCCACCCTCTGCCACCCACCCCCGATTCCCTGTTCACCATCTGGTGATCGGTGCCTGACAGCCAGGGGAAGGGACCAAGAGGTCGGCTGCTCCAGCCCGCTTGCCAGCCTCGCCTCCATCACTGGCTGCCCTCTGTGTGGTGGTGGGGACCTTGGCCTGATACCTCCCGTGTCAACTACCACCCACCCCTAGATCCGCATTCACAATTAGGCAATCGGAGCCTGCAGGCCGGGGAAAGGGACCGAGAGGTGGTCAGTGCACCTCATAGTGACTGGTCCAGCAGTTGTTCTGATCGTTCCACTGTTAGGGTCAATTTGCATATTCCCCTATTATTATTTAGAATGATTGGCTTTCTAGGTCTTCTGTTGACACGGATAGATAGGGAGTGAACATGACACAGATCTAGAGTAGAAATACAAGGCAAATCTAAAGTAAGGCAATCCATCTCACACAGGAAAGTAAAAGAAATAACTGTGATCACGTCTTTTCCCATTTATTTTGACTCTGTCTCTCTGATTTGGGAAATGTGGAGAAGTGGGACCCAGCTCTTGCCTCAGGGAGTGGAATGGAAATTAGACCAGCTTTGTCACCAAGCAAAGGTTCCCAGTTCGCTGTAAATGTGGGTCAAATGAGGTAGGAATGCTTCCTGTGACCAGGCATGAATCACATTAGAGGAGGATAACTGATGTGGAGCCATTTCATCCCTTGTCTAAGAGAAGATTGTAGGACCAGCTCTGACCCTGGAGTGACCTGTGGGGCAGTGCCCATGTCATAGATAAAGGGAAGACACTGAAATGCCCATGAGAGGAGTCGTCAGAAACTTGATTCTGCTGTCTACTTTCATCCATTTTTGGTGGAAAATTGCACCCACCTTTGAGACTGTGCCCCTTCCCCCTAATCCTCATGCTGGGGCTAGAGATTACATTTAGAAAACTAGAAGAGAAAGAAATATCAGGCAGGAAACCCACAGG